GTGTCCCTTTCCACCATTTCTCTACAAGGGTGTTTTGGGTGCCAACCCACTGCTCACAGGACAACCTAACATCCCTGATGAGCTTCAGGAAACTCATCTTTAACCTCTGACTTTGGCCTCAAGGAACCCTGGGACTAGAACAGGGGAAAAGGAGAAAGGGGCACTCCCTTTGCCATCGTGTGGGGTCCCTTTCCACCATTTCTCTATAAGGGTGTTTTGGGTGCCAAACCCACTGCTCACAGGACAACTTAACATCCCTGATGAGCTTCAGGAACCTCATCTTTAACCTCTGACTTTGGCCTCAGACTTCCTTTTCCTTCCCTCTGCAGAGCAAACCATTGACATGGGCTTCCCAGGGGCTGGGCTGCTGGTGTCATCCTGCCAGTACACCATGGTGCCCCTGAGGGGCATCTCTGCTCCCCGTGCCAACGGGCACCCCTACGTTAACGGGCAGCCCTATGCCAGTGGGGCACATCTGAATGGCATCTGCCCCTCTGCAGGAGTGGGGTATGCAAGCACCAAGCCACGAGATTATGGTCCAGAGGAAGTGCCACAGGTACGTCCACACTTGGGCTCAGAAGTTGGTTTGAGGTGAGCTGGAGGCCGTGGTGGCACTGAGAGGGCTTCTCCAGGAGTGGCTGGCACCACTGGCAGCCTGTTGAAGTGGCAGAGACTGGCCTCTTAAAAGAGATTTCCCCTCTTCAGTGGAGTCAGATGGGGGAGGAACAGGAGGGTCTCCAAACCACTGGTGAAGAGGTGGTTTCTTGGGGCAGTGGCTCTAAGTATGGAGGAGGCAGTGAGTAAAGGCTGCTCTTAGAGGAATGGTGCCTGTTTGAGCAAAGCTGGCAGGGACTGACAGTGTTGAGGGCTCTGTGTGTGGATAATAACACAGGCCCAGGCAGTGCCCAGCCCCTGCTGATCCAGCAGCAAGAGTGAAGTGAGTTTTCCAGTGTTAGCAAAGGAAACAGCTTCAGCTTTCTCTGCCTTCTGTTGTAAGAGCTTCACCAGTTTTCCCCACGGCTCTGGCTCTCAGGTCAGCACCTGCCTGTCAGTGCTGCTCTGGGGCATTGCTCTCCTGACAATCCTTCTCCCTCCTTCCAGTCCCAGGAGGAGACCAACGCCTTGCTGCAGGCCAGGCTGCTGCAGAAGGGGAACACCCAGCAGGACTGCCAGCCCTCCAGGTTAGTCCTGCCTTCTGGAGGGAGAGGGTGGAACAGTCCAGTGGGACCCACAAGACCACATCCTCACAAAAGCTTGTCCTCACCACAGTCCCATATGTCCCAGTTCACCTGGGAGACAAATCCATGCTCCAGCACGAGGCCTTTTTAGTCTAAATTCTCTTATGGATGGAGGGAGAGGTAATTTAATTGTAGAGGTGGCCACCTCCCCCTGCTGCTCCTAAGGGGGAGACAAAAAAGTAGGATGAGAGAAGCTCATGTCTGTGACCAGCTGCTGATAAACAGCTGCCCTAGAATCTGGGCAGGTTCTAATTGCAGGTGCTTTGTGTCTCCCTGTTCAGATGTCAGGGCATTATTCCCATGCTCCCTGGGAGGCACTCACTAGATGTGGGATTGCCAATACCAGGTCCCATCACCTCATTCCACAAGTACCTCCTAATTTCTGCTGAAAACTACTGGCTGAGGGGTTACACAGGTCATATTTTTAAGGGAGGAAAGCTCAATAGTGCTAAACCTCTTTGTCTGCCTCCCCAGGTTGCCTAACTCAAGAACAGAAGACAGCTCTTTCCTCTACAGCCTCCCAGATGACTCCACTCATCAGCTTCTTCAGCCACAGGATGACTGTCCTCACCTTCAAGAGCACTTTGTTGGACTCCATCATCCAGTGCTGGGCAGCAAGGTGGGAGGGCAGAGCCTGGATGCTCGACGGGATCCCCTCTTCCACCAAGGTCAGTGCTCTGGAAGATTCCACGCTTGCTTCAGCTCATCATTTTAGGCTGATCTGGAAGGGAAATCTCACTGTAGAGTCTTTCTGAGGCTTGCTTCTGCAGTGCAAGGGCATTTGTAACATCCTGGAGAGGCTGTGCTAGCAGCTGGGGACTGTAAATTGCCTCAGTCAGTTTTAGAAGATGCATTTCTCCAAAAAAGCTTGAGCTGTAAGCTGCCAGAAGGGCACGTACCTGTCTCCACTTGCAGAGACACTGTCCTTTAGTCCTTAATTTTGCATTTTCCAGACTGACAATAAAACAAAGTCCCTGAAAAATTATGGGGATCCCTCTCTCTAGGACCTGATCCATTGCCCCTGTGGTGTGGATCATACTTGTGGATCAAGCTTCCGTGTAGCCAGGACTTTGAGAAGACAGCTCTTCCTCTTTGCTCAGAATACCTGTCCTCATAAAGTGGACTGTTGACTGGAATGCCACCACAGCAGCTCTCACCCCTCTATGCATTGTAACCATTTCTTGCTGCCTTGCCTTTCAGGAAGCTCTTGCTGCCTAGGCCTCGTGCCAGTTGAAGAGGTAGAACGACTAGACTGCTGCCACTCCAGAGGAGACCTCCATCCCCAGAATGCAGTCATCACACCTTTGGGTCAGGACCTACCAAGGCATTTGAACAGCAGCCCACCACCACCACCGAGGCCTTTAGAGACTCGTTCTCCCACCAGCTAGGGACTGAGGTGCCTTTTGTGAGAGACTTATTCTAAAGAGAGAAAGAGAACGGGTATTTATTTTTGTATAACACGCCTATTTATATATTTATGCACTTGTATATAGATGTATATGTGCCTTTTATAATGCTATGGAGACAGAAAGCATCCTCAGCGAGGTCCCAGGAGGGCCCAAAGAAACAAGGCAGCAGCTCTCTGTGCTCAGCAGAGGTGGAACCAGGAGCTCAAGAGCCATCAGGGGACCCGGGTCCGAACAGAGCCGCCGCCGCCAAGGTCTGGCAGCCTCTTGCAGCGAGGGCTTCACGAAAGCTACTGCTGTCCAAAAGGTCTTCTCCTCTCACCCACAGGAAGGGTTGTCCCAGGCACAGGCTCCTGGGGATGTCCTGGAGGAGCTGGCACTCTGCTGAGCTGCCTGAACGAGCCTGCTGGTACCCGCCGCCCATCTGTAGGGACAGACCCACGCCCTGACAGCTACAACAAAGGCTTCAGCCTGGCCTGAGGCTGGCTGGATGCTAAACCCTTGCACAGAAGGAGCCTCTGTTCCACTTGGGGACATACAGCAAGCAGGACTCCTGGGGAAAGGTGACATTTTCCTGCAGATAGAGTTTTCCAAATAAATAGGGATGCAGATGGTAATGCTGAGCTCAGGAGAGGGACACTCAAATTTCTGCAAACTTGGTTTCCTTTATCCTGGGGTTTTCTAATGTCAAAAGCTTTCAGCTTCCAGGCCTGTGGATAAGAGGTTTTCTTCCCCTAAGGGAACTGGAGCTGCTCAGCACCTTCCCAGGGACCTCCAGAGAGGGCTGGCTGCACAAGTACCAGTCATTTGGCTGTGCTGGGCCAGCAGGACCAGAGTTAGTGCCTGGCTGGGATATGGTGGGATCCCAGCTGAGCGTACACCGGGCAGGGACTGGGGAGGAGGAGGAGGAACAGGAGCAGCTGCAGCTTGTTGAAACTATTCAATTCAAAATCAGAACAAAGCCCGAGGCTCCCTGTGCACCCTCAGGAGCTTTGCACTGGAAGAATGGTGTGACACAACCCCTCTGCTTGAAGGAAGTTGTCACAGTAAGGCAGGGTAAGTGCTGTAGATGACCACGTGCTGCCACCTTACCCCATCCATGCCAGAGGCAAAAAAGAATAAAACCTGAAAGCAGAGGGAGCCAGGTGCTCCCTTCCTTGGCATGGCAGGTGCCAGTCAGCAGAATTACCAGCTGACTTTGCATTTGCTACACCCCCCTGCCAGGTCAATACCACACCCTGCACTGCCACGTGGTTTTGCACAGCTACAGAGCAGCCTTTGAGTGGCTCCACACCCACCTGAGCACTGTAGCCCCCGAGGAGAAAGGTCCCTTTGCTTTCTCCACACAAACAGCACTGCCCTTGGCTCTAGCTCGGCTGGCAGAGAAGGGCCATCGCTCCAGGGATGCTCAGCAAGTGAGAAAACACACCCTTAAGGCAGACCTCTGACCGTTTTGGAGGAGACAGGTCCCAAAGCTGTATTTGCCCACGTGAAACTCTCCTATCCAGCCTTCAAGAGCCAGGTGTTTGAAGGACAGACACACACAGGCACACGCAGACTCAGCATCTCTGCAGGCGGCTGGGAGCAGCGCTTCCTATTTGCACTTTTTTATTCCATAGCTGCCACTACGGTCCTATTTTGAGAGGAGAAACAAACAGAAGCCCTCAGGACTCAACCCCTGCACAGCCAGAGCAATCCCTTTGCCCCTTAGCAGCCTGACTGCAGCCTGAGTTAACCCTGTCCCCTCTTAACGGGGACTTGCGCCGCTTGTTAGCGCCGGTGGGGTAAGAGCAGGGAACGAGTCGCTTGGTGTCCCAGAGCCCTGCAGGGATGAAGGCTGGAGGAAGAGCTGCCCATGTTCACTGCTGAGGAGAGCCAGATCTCTTCCCAGGCACCCATCTTTTCTGCGTAGCAGGTGGATCTCTTCCCTGAGGAGAGCTGTGCCACGAGCCGCGTGCGCCAGCCGCCGCTCCAGCCTGGCCGCCGCCCTCAGCTCCGTGGGTCTCCTGCCCTGAAATTCCTCTCCCTGGGAGGAGAGGGGGGAAAAAAACTCTTCTAAAATGTGAGCAAATCATCAGGACAGCTTCATGACTTCACTCCTCAGTCAGAACTAGGTGGAAGTTGGCTCAGCCCATCACAGGTGGGTGCCTTATTCAGAGCACAGAAAACACTTTAATTCATTTGGCTGCTTTCATATAACAAAGGAATGATTTTGACTTGCTGCAAGATGGGTTTTTTTTAATGAGAAATAAGATGAGTCAATATTAGAAAGCAGCTAAGTAAAGCAATGGCAGAGAAGCTGTATGGACTACTTCAGGATCAGCTCATTCATCCAAGACCTGGAGCAGCAATTCAGCCTGTGCCACTCAGCAGTGTCAGCCCGACCTGCTGGCTGCAGAGCAGGATGTGAACCCAGAGAGCTGGTGAGGGCCACATCATCCCCTTCCCCTTTCTGAACGGCCCCAAACCTGCCTGCAAGCACAGCTGACTACAAGGCTTACCAGCAGATCGTTCTTCACTGAAGACAGCTTAGTTTCAAGTTGCTGCTTTTCAAGGCAAAACTGGTTCAGCTGCTGCAGCTTCCTGGTGTTCTCCTTTGTCAGCTTCATTAGCTGCTGCTGCAGGTCTGAGATTCTTTCCTAGAAAAATAGAAACTGTTGAGCTGGGGTGAGAGAGGACAAAAAGTGTGAAGTGGGGAAGAAGTGCTTAGGCACAATGTTAAGTGTCCCAGAAGGGAGGTAAGCAACAGGCTGATCCTGCATCCACCACCTGGTCCAACTGCAATCTCGCATAGTCATCTTGCACCACAGGAGCTGAGCCTTAGCCCCTCCCAGAGCCATGAACCTCTCAGACTGCACAGAGTGGCACCCCAGGCATGAACCAGCCCTGCCCTGCACTCAAACTGTGTCACCAAAGGTGGTGGGAGGAGAGGAGGTGCCAAACGCCAGCTGAAAACCAAAGGAAAGCATTCTGGAAGAACTCCACGTGGGCACTGAAGCAGAGCCATACAATTGAGTAAAGTGAAACAAAAAGATCATCAGCTGCCTCCAGGAGAAAATAAAAGGTGTGAATGATGCAGCAGAGATGGTGATGATGATGGCAAATGGGAGTTGGACATTATGGTCTGTTAATGACAAGTGAAACAAACGCAAACCAAAAGATTTGAGTGTGACTATCCAGCCCCAGGCAAATAAAGCCTTAACAGCACATCCTAACATGTATGTCCTCCTTTTCCTGCTCCTTACCTCCCACTTTTTGAGCTCCTGGGAGTGCAGATATTCTTTCTCCATTATTTGCACTTTCAGCTTCTCCATCTCTATGTTAACAGAGTGAGCTTGAACTGCTTCAAGATCAACCAGCCGGCCAAACTTTGTCATCATCAGGTCGTTGCACTTCTCTTCCAGCCCTGGTGGGATGGGCATGGCATAAATGGCTTGCATTGCTTAGTGAGAACTTCTGCTTTACCCTTGGCTTTTGGTCTGTGCTCTTTGGTATTTCCTCTGCAATAAACAATTCTCACACAGCCACACCGAGCTCCCAGCTCCATCTGGCCGTTTGTCCTTGCCTGTGACCGTGGCTGTGTGGCCACTAAGCCACACTCTCAGCCAGCCCTAGTGAGCCACTCCCACAGCAGAGGCTGTAGAGGGCATCTGCAGGGCTGGTGGTGCTAGATGTGTCTTTGGGGCTGGTCCTTGGTGCAGTCAGTGTTTCAAGTAGGGCTTGTTTCATTCACATTATGTTACAGAGGAGAAAATTGCTAGAAAAAAAGATGAGACAGCTTTGGGGTAAGTACTTTATCCCTGACACTGACTTCCAGTGCCTCACCTCAGTCAACTCTCCTTAATTACTTCACACAGCCTGATGACTCCATTCCCTGACACTGACTGCCAGTGCCTCACCTCAGTCAACACTCCTTAGACTAAGTTCCCAAATTACTTCACACAGCCTGATGACTCCACAGTGCTGGAGAACCACCAGCACTTGATCTGCTTCTCCTGCTTTATTATCTGCAGGAAGGAGCTGTGTGAGTGCAAAGAGAGACATCAGGGGGTTCCCCCCCCCCCCCGGGGTGTGCACAGGAGGAGCATTATTGGGCTCTTCAGTCTCTGTTACTCACGTAGAATCTTCAGCTCCATCTCCTTCTTCTCCTGGACAAGTTGTTTATATTTCTTCTGGGCCTTCTTATAGAGCTCTCTTTGTGTTCTCTTTTCACTACATAGCTCCACCAACCTCTTCTGCAGATACTCTAAGGACTGGTTGGTAAATACTAAAGCCTGGGAGAAGTCACTGGGCAGTTCCCCATTATCCATGTACTCCACCTAGGAGAAACAGCCAGAAGCAAGGTTGCCTTTGATCTCTGGATCACAAATGTGTGAGAGTTGGGGAGTTAATGGGTGAGGTCATGGTAAGCTGGGCACAGCTCTCTCATTTTGGGCCAGGGAATCACTGCCACTCAGCAAAGCTCAAAAACTACTTAAGCCCATGCTGACTGCCTACATGGAAAGCTGTCTACCCTCCTGTGGCACCTGGAACAAAGGGGGAGTAGGTGACTCCTTGTCAGCTGTACTCTGGAATGATCTGGGAGCTGCAGGATTGCATACTCAGGCCTTGGACTCTTCTGTCTTTATTACCAACCATTTAATGAAGGGAGATGGAACAAAAGGAGGGAGCTGAGCTTGCTTCAGAGCTAGGTAAGCTGGAACAGGCAGAGGCCTGTCCTGATTCAGCCCAGAGGAAATAACAGCCTTGAGTTTTCCTCTTAGTTTTCTACTTACCAGCCCTGTGCTAACAGCTGTGGGTCAAATGCATTGCATCCAATCCAGTAGTCTTGAATTGGGCAAAACTCCCCCTTAGTTTCAACAGTTTGGGGTGGGTTTTTTGGTTTGTGGGTGGTTTGGTTTTGTTTTGAGGTGTTTTTTTTTGTGTTTGGGTTTTATTTTTCCTCAGGAGAATATCAGTAGGTATGGGCCTGAAGGAAAACCCAATGTCAAACCTACAGAACACTTGAAAACTATGCACAGTTCAGTGATGGGTTGACCTCCCTACCCTTACCTCTCTTCTGTCAGCATAGGAGAAAGGAAAAATGAGAAAAATCTAGAGGAAATAGCAGCATGAAGTTCAGTTAATGGCACTTCACTCCCAGGGGACTCTGGTGAATCAGCAACAAAGGGACCCAGAGAACAGTGCCACCACTGTTTCAATGTACATAGGTCATTCTGCACCTGCAGGTGCACAGCAGCTTGAATTACCTGGTGGAGTTTCAAAGGCACAGCTACGTGTAGCTCATTCAGTCTCTGCTGCTTTTCCCACTGAAAGGTCTCCAGTTCCCTGGCTGCAGTTTCCAGACTGCTTTCCACGATTTTCACCTTCAGAGAATTGTGAACATAAAAATAATCCTCTAGTACTGAAGGACATAAGGCAGCAAGGTTTTATGTTAGAGCTCCCAAACCAAAGGGAAAGAAGTATGGTGAAAAAAAATGCCACTTTTTGTTGTTACATACTATGATAGATGAGTTTCATAAGCAAACATGAGGCTCCTCTACATACTCAAGCAAGATCCTACCCTGAATACCTCTGATACACTCACATATGTCTCCTTAGTAGAGAAGCCCAGGAGACAGCAGCTTTGTTTAGTGCCTAAACCACTTCTAGATCTACACAGCCTGCAAGATATTTTTGCATTGTGTTATGCCTGGAAGTGCTTACTGATTCTGCATGAGAAAGAAACAATTCCCACTCAAATGTCAGACCCCAGGGTGAATATGTGGCAGTTGGCACTTAGGAAAGCCTTTAAAAAAACTAAACAAAAAAAAAATGATGTAAGTTAAGGATATTTGATGGAACATTTTAGAGGCACAATAAAAAGCAAGGCTTGCATAATGTTATTTTGGCAGAACTCCCTATCCTGGATAACCCTTCGAATTAAGATATTTTTGAATTAATAGAAATCAAATGTCTTGGTGAACACAGGAGCTCAAAAAAAAGCTGAAAGGAAAACTTGTGATTACTATGACAAAGAGCAAAAGCAAAGAACAAAAAGCAAAAGAACCAGATGGAAGAATAGCCTTTTTCTGCACTTATTTTAGCCTGCATTTGTGTTAGGATAAATACTCTTTCCATCTCTCCATCCCCATACACTTGCACAGAGGATAACCAAAATTTTAACCAAAATCCCTGGCACAACATTTTCACCGTGAGGGAGGCAGCCAATGCTTGTGGAGAAGGAAACACTGAGATACCTTTTTGGCCAAGGCATTGTATTTCTTTCTGAGTTTAGCAGCAGCTCTCTTCTCCTCTGTTAAGGCTTTCTCGATGCCTAAGCGCTTCTCCCGGAGCTGGATGGTGTTTTGGAGGAGTGCCTCAGTGCAGCCTGAGGGAACAGAGTCACACAAGAGCTTCATTTCCTTATGGCTGCTCTAAAATTGCAGGCTCCAGCTCGTAGCTTCCCCACCATGCAGCATTCCCCATAATAAGACCATGCTCTGGGTTCCCTAGAGCTTTCTCAAACCAAAACCACATGGGCCACGTTCCTCCGTGAGGGGGTGAATGTCTTGGATGGATTTCTTTCTCTCTACACTCAGAATAGTTTGTTTCCAGTAAGACTAACTGCATCAAAGCCAATATTAAAGCCAAGTGCTCAAAAGTTCTCCTTTACAATTAATGCAGTCCCAGTCATTAATACATGTTGCAGTATAACCTTCAATTCTGTGAGCGTGGTGTTTAACCATAGCAGCCATCACTATAAATCATCAACCTGCTTTAGGGATCTCAGAATCCTAGAATCATTTAGGTTGGAAAAGACCTGTAAGATCATTGACTCCAACCATAAATCATTTATAGCACTATTTGTAAACAAAGCTGTGATGTATGGCACCTAATTCATGGAAAGGAAGATCTGTGAATTTCTATCTAACAGAGTGATTTCAATCATGCTAATCAAGTGCTTAATTATGCCCAAATCTGCAGGCACTGATAAAGGCAAAGCAAATGACACATAAAGAGACAAATAGGAAAAGACCAATGCAACATGTAATTCCCCTATTAAATCTGTAATTTGGACTTTTCTAATAAAAAGTAAAATCTTCACTTCTTCCCAACGTTTCAGTGAAAAAAAAGGAGATGAATGAGGAGTTAATCAAAAATTCAATTTGTGGAAAAGACACTGAAAATCCAATTAAAAAAAATATATATATATGAGAAGGTAATTTGTTAGTAAGTTCTAACTGAAAATAAAGCAGTGTTGTTACATGGTCATTAACTTCTCACCCAAAGAGTCCTAAAAAACACAACACCCTAAACTAATTAAACACACACAAAAGAAAAGGGGGGGACACGTTGCTTGCCTTTGTTGAATGAATGAATGAATGAAGATGATTTTGCAAAGTAAAGCTCCTGACTTTTCCTACACCCTTAGGAGAGCAGCCTAGCAACAGGCAATTGCTGCAAAAATCCACGAGGTGGTAACAAAGAGCTTCATTCAAGAGCACGGTAAGATCCCTGGAGAACGTCTCTGGCCTGGGATCCAGCAATGCCAGAGAGCAGCTCCAGCCTCTCTCCAGCTCCACTCCTGAGAGGAGCCTTTTCTCTCCAGGAAACAGCCGTGAAAGGGTGAATGGTTCTTTACATAAAATAATTACTCCTTAGCTAAGTTTTACTTCTCCCAACTTTTTTAGTTTCATTCTCTTCACTGAAATTTCCCAGGGAGAAATGCTGTGCTCAGAAGAGGCACACACGTTCTGGCTCTTAACAGCATTAATATGCAATGAATAATGAAAAATTCTCTGTTTTCTTTTTAAATAAACAATATTGCCTCTAAAGCTAAAGTAATCAACTCAAGGAAATGATTGCTTAGGTACCCTCTGGGCAAACAGAGTCATCAAAGGCTTCATCTTCAGATCCAGAATCATCTTCATCAATCCCCAAGCTGGACTCTTCATCATTCTCCTCTTCAGTCTCATCTTCTTCATCTGGAAGAAAAGGACTTTACTGCTGGTTGGCAGAACCCCCCCAGACCCACCAGATGTGCATTATGCCAATGTGCTGGTGAACACAATCCCAGTAATCCATGAAAGCTCATCCCAGTAACACATGGACCCAGGTGCCTTGATCTAACAGTTTAAAACCCAGTCACTAAATGAAACCTTTTCATAATATGCTTAGTCCTGTGACTAACATGATGTAAATTAGGTCTGTGATCTCTCATTAGTCAAGGGACAGATGAAAGGAGGGTGTCATGAACGTGGCAGACTAATCACTTCTCCATAGCTCCCACTGGTACAGCATAGGGAGTATCTATTTAAAGCTTTGCCTCTTCTTCAGACCAATTATCAGTCCTCAATATTGGCTTACAGGGATTAAATTGCAGGAGCTGTCACCAGACCCAGTGTGGTCATGTTAGACACTGAATTACATTGTTGTCTTTCAGGCTGGCTCCCACTGAAGATGGGTTGGTATATAAAGAAATCTCCCTGGGTCTGATCTTTGGGGGTTTGAGTGTTGCACCCACCCAGGGCTCCAAAAAAAGAACAGTATCACCAACCTGCTCCTGTTCCTGCTTCTTTTTCTTCTTCTGTACACTTGATTTTCTTCTTCAGAACCTTGGTCAGAAAATGGGCAACCTCATCGTTTTTTCCAAGGGATGCTTGGAAGTTGGCATAAAGAACCTTCTCAGATTCCTGAAGCTTTACAATCTCACTCTTCTTATCCTCCATCTGGGCAAGGTAGCTGTTCAATTTTGACTAAACAAACAGAAAAACCTACTTCATTTAAAAGGTACAGTGCACCTTATATGTGTATAAGATCTATGTATCTAAGTTCTATGTGTGTATAGGAGATCTATGTGTGAAGATGTGGCAATGCAAACCTTGTCCTTCTCTCTTTAAACCAGTGCTTCAACCAAGAAAAACCTAGAAGTGTGTTCTTAAACTTCAGTATATAATCTGTCACTTATTCCACAACATGAAGTACTCATTAAAACACAACTGTTGCAATTATGAAAAGAGTTAATGATTGGAAGTTAAAAGCGACCATCTTAGGTTGATCATCAAGAATTTCTTGTTTTGCCAAAATCCAGCAGTAGATGCTGGATCAGTGCTAAATGGAAGCAAAAAGATGCCACCATCTACTTGATGGCTTGATTTTGTTTCATGCCATGCCTTAGTGGCACTCTTACACCCAGAGACACACAGCCTGCTTACTTGCATGGCCTCCTGCTCACTGAGGAGGCTGTTAACACGCCCCTGGAGAAGGTTCTCCTGCTTCTCAAGGTTCTTCAGGATAAGCAGCTCTTCATACCAGGTGATGTGCTGCAGGTCAGCACTTTTCATCTCCACATCCAGCTTCAGCTTCTTGTGCCTCAGAAAGCGAAGCTCAGCATCGAAGTTCATCACCAGTGTGTTGATCTGGAGCATGTGAGAGAGTCAAATGAGGAGCAGGGAAAGTAGCAGGAGAGGAACTAAACATGTAAAGCTGGAGAAAGGAGCAGTAAGGAAAAATTCTCTCTGCCAAATCTGTTTTACTCCGGATGACTGAAGCACTTAGAAAGACAGAGTTAACCCCAAATGTCTCTTTGTTTGCAGCACAATAGCAGAAGGATCACCAGGGCTTCACAGGAATGTTTCACTCCACCCCGGAGGCGTTTTACTCTTCAAAGACTAGTTTTACAGCAGCCTGAAGTAGTTCCTGTAACGATTCCAGATGCAGATACCTGCCAGCTCTTCCCTTAGACATTCACAGTAAATCAGCACTAGCAGCTGCCAACACTCATCTTTCTATGTGGTGATCTTTTAAATATATATATATGCAAATATATTTTTATATGATGGTCACAGCAGCATTTGGATATTCTCTCCAAACCTTCATACACATGAACACAATGGTGTCTGTCTTGGAGTGGATCATTTTTGAGACCAAAGAATTGGGACTGCAGTTATTGAAGAGCTGAGAATGTTTCTGATGCTGTGGGATTGTTCAGTCTGACAAAAACATAACTTTTTGTTTCCTACCTTTTTAATCAAGGTCTCCTGCAAATACATGTTCTTTATCTTCTCCTTCTTTAAAATCTCCAGTTCCATTTCTGTTGGCTTTGTCTTCTCAGTCTCAAAACCCTTCTGCTGCTCTGTGACCAGAGATGCTGCTGCTTTCATTGGGTGTCCATCTGCAGCCTGTGCCACGGGCTCAGTCTCAACACAAGGAGCTTGAAGAAACCCATGCCTAAATTCACAAGATGAGGAGGACCCTTCCAATTGCCCCTGGAGCTTTGCCCTGGCCTCCTGCTCCTCTTTGAACTTCAGGAGGACATCACTGTCATACTCAAATTTTTTTTCAGGCACCTCATCTGGGTGTAACTGAGGGATCATGGGAAGAGGGAGATGTTCTGATAAATCCAAGGCTGCCTGTATGGTTTTCAGTTCTTGCACTAAATGCTTGATTTCATCAATAGTAGAAACCTTGAGGTCCCTCAAAGACATGATCTCTTTGTTCATGTTCACCTTCCTCTGATGGATCTGCAAAGGAAACACAGCTTCAGTAGGACTCCCCAGGAACACTTCCACAGCACGTGGTCTTCCCCAACACAAGGAATGTTGTTAAGAAGCCTGTCACTCTGATTTTCCTTCTTTGTACCATCTCCACACCTCAGCGTTTTTAAACAGCTGCTTTCAGTCTGTGGTTTTAAAATCTTTGGAACCACCTCTCTTCCTCTCCTTCACAGAAAACAGCAAAGGCCTAAGGAGGGAAATGGAGCTTCCCCATTCTCCTGACTTGATTGTGAGATTTTTGACAAGCTGTGGGTTGTAGAGGGTCAGTCATTTGGGCTGTTGTTAAACACAGAGCACCTCAGCTTTGATACACGACCCTCTTTTCAGAGGTATGGTACAAATAACACCCTAACAAAAAGAAAATTAGATTCCTCTTAATATTTTGCAAAGAAAGAGTCTGTCCCTGAGATAAAAGAGACACAGCTGAGGGGATTTTTAGTGTAGACACTAAAACAGAGATCTAGCCTGTGACCCAGCCACTGCAGCAAAGCCTCTGTCCCACCTAACCCCAAGGATATGCAGCATTCCTCCATGAACCTGGGGTTTGGAAGGCAGATGAAATCTTTTTACTCCAACCCAAGATGATGATCTGCTGGTCTGAGGATTGACACTAGAGGCAGGATTTAAACAGCCAAGTGCAGCAAAACTTACTTGTAAGGACTTGTTTGCATCTAGTTTGGCCTGTAGGCAGGGCTCAGTCATAATCCTCTGTTCAGGCTTCATTAGTAATCATTCTGTTCACCAATGTTAATTATCTGGGGCAAAGCATCCCCTCAGCAAGTCTGCTGAGAAGGCTGAACTGGGAGCAGTGGCTGACACACCAGAGGGTTCTGCTGCCATCCAGAGGGGCAGGGTGGAGAGATGGGCTGCCAGCAGCCTCCTGAAGTTCAGCAAGTGGCAGTCCAAAGCCCTGTACCTGGGCAGGAACAATCCCAGGCACCAGGTGTAGCTGGTTGACCAGCAGTTTTGCAGAAAAGAAGCTGGGGTCTGAGGCACTGGGGTCCAAACCCTGAGCCCTGAATCGGGGTTGACATGTGGATGATGTCCACAACCAGACAGGAGAGACCTTCCCCTTGGTTTTATCTCAGGGCCTGGCCAACCTTGGGTGAAACCCAATTAGGAGATCACCACCAGTTGCCCTGCCTTTAGAATTCACATCAGGTGTCCTGCCTCCAGTGTCAATGATATAAAAGCTGGCTGGGCTGGGGGGGAAGCTGACCTATGCAGTGGATACATGAGGCAGGGTTCTCTACTGCAAGCAGAGTTCTCAGTCATGGTGGGACAAGATCAAGATGAGGATGCAAGGAGGATTATGTAAGTCATGATGCTTTTCCTTGGCAATTCTTGTAGGATTGGAATTAGGCTGATCAGCTGGCTTGCTCCTTCCCCTGTGACCTGGTTTCAAACTTGTTTCTTTGCTGTGCCACATACCATGAGTGAATGCACTGTGTGTACACTGCTACTGGTCTTATCCTTCCTGCTGGGATGTCCAAGAGGTGATGGGCAAAACTGAAACACAGGAGGTTCCCTCTGAACATCAGAAAACACTTTTTTTACTGAGTGCTGGCACAGATTGCCTGGCAGGTTGTGGGGTCTTCATCCCTGGAGATATTAAAAAGCCATCTGGACATAGTCCTGGGCAGCTTGTAGGGGGTTTAGTCTAGATTAGCATCTAAAGTGTCTTCCAACTTCATTCATTCTGTGACTTTCTAATAAGGAGATGCTGTATTTATTTTTTTCACATAATCAAATGTGATCTAACATTAATATATATGGCAGAAACTTCTCTGATCCTTATAGAAGGAAAACAAAGCCAGATGCCAGCCCCCTGAAGTAACTGGAATTCTTCATCTATAAACCTGGAATGCACAAGAACTATCCCCTTTGTTTGTAGAGGCTTGTCCTACTGGGTTAGTTTAATCACTGGGTATCTGCTAACATCAGCACTACAATGAAGTACTGGAGCTCAGGCAGGAGATTAAAATGGTCCAAGAAATGCCCCTAGACATCATGGTTTCTGTACTGCTTAGACTTCAGGTTCCCTCAGGCACTGAGTGCCATTGGAAGATTCCAGTGTTTAGTACCCAGAAGGAAATTGCCAAAGCATGAAGAGGTCACACTAGAAATACCTGTCCTTCCTCACACCTGGTTTTGTAAAGCTATTTCATAGAAGGGGTTCTTTATCTCAGTGTTTTAAGGAAAGCATATCACTTACTAGATGATCAGACTTTCTGAAGGATTCAAAAAGACAGATAAAAAGATAAAGAAATAGAAAAGGTAAATTCTTTCTGCTTTAAAAAGAGCCAGCTGAGAGTTACCCTGGTTTGATTCAGGTGTGAATCAGTGTTTGGTGAAGCACTAACCCTTCACAAAAGAAAAGCTGATTTGTAATGACACAGTCTGTCCTTCAAGGCCTTTTCCTACATCCACTTTGATTTTCTCTAATAAAATAATTCTTCAGTGAATAATACACTATATTTCCTCCCCCAAAAAGGGGGAAATTTGTCAACTGATTTGTTGATGCCCATACCAATGCTTCCAGGGATGCAAGCTGCATCATCTTCTTCTCAGTGTTCATATGCTTGTGTTCAGGGACTCTGTAGTTGGTGGCAGTCTTGAGATCATAACATCCCATATTTTCCCGTGCTGCTCTGATGGCCTCCACATCTTTGGGATCCTCACAGTCCTCACTAGGTTTGCTCTTGTATCTGGTGGGTACAAAACAAAGCTCAGCTTTAAGACAAAGCATGCAGGTGAACAAAGGTGGTCGTTGCACACCTTCTGATCTGTGCAGGAAGGCTTCTGAGGGGAGCTAAGGATCAAGAATCACACAGAGAACAGCTACCTTTTGAAGAACATCCTTGCACATTTGAATGAAAACATCAGATTAATTTTAATCACAACCATTAGGGATATGAAAAAAACTAGGCAATGAGATTATAGTGCCATATGACAGCTAAATAGCATTACTTGACCTCAGACAAGGAGCTAAACTAAAAGTGGCACAGAGTCCAGTTCAAGACTCACAACTCCTCCCACTCTGCCTTCCTCTTCGTGATCTTTGCTTTCATCTTCTCAGATTTCTCAATGTTTCTTTTGATTTTCTCATGTTTTCTCTCTATATAATGCGTGGTTGGCTTTTGGACCTCTGGCATCTTCAGCTCTTCAGCCTCCTCCTCAAAAATTCTAGCATCTGGAACAAAAAATAACCATGTGAAGTTGTAAATACCGTGCAGTACAGTCCCAACTACTGGAAACCCCCTGGGATGGATGCACCCCAATGCATACGTGTTGTCTCTGTGATGATCTCCCTTTCTTCTGCTTGTTTCTGTGCCTGTTTTTCTTGAAAGTGTTTCTCAGACACTGCTAAAAGCCTGTAGGTGGAAACCTGATGATTGCTCTGAATGGCATGAACAACAACAGTGTCAAATTCCAGTGAGTTCCGAAACCTGAAAAGCAAAATTAGACAAAACATTCTGATGCCAGTAGGCACAATCTACTTTTTTTTGACCAAAAGGACTCAAATAATGTAGCTTATTTATTGTATGTGCAATCATTACATGTGGATTGACAAGTCAGTAACAGAATGATGGCATCTGACCCTATCTATTGACTTTTACTCCATCTCATGGAAGATACTCAAGAAGACACATATTAAGACTCCCAGTATTAAAACTTACACCAGGTTCTTCATGAAAATCTTTATCTTCCCTTAAGGAATGATTATAAACGTGTTCATTCCAGTCTTTTGCCCAGTCACACACACTCTGTTTTTGTTATTCTGTATTATTTATGTTGTGTATTTCTTTTTTGTGCTTAAACTTGTGCTCTTGAGAGCTTATTTCATAACATTAAACTACACAGAGCATTGTGTTAGCAAGGGCACTAAAATATCTGACAGACAAGCAAGAGGCCTGAAAAACAGGGTTTCATTTCACAGGTTGTTCTTCAAAGGTTCAGTAAGAGTTCTTGGTTCTTACTGAATGTACTGGGAGAAAAAACTCAGGCAAACTTAGTCTCAAAAAAAAAAAAAAACCCAGTTTTATTTCCTATAGAGATGACACAGAATGAAGCTACTTCCTTGAATATCTGAATTTTCACCAAAGATTCAAAAGAAGTACATCCAAATATCCATTATATACTCTTCTTATATTCCAAGTAAAATAAGAACAGAATGATAACAGAATAGAAAAGAATTATTGATTATATGAGGAAAAACCAAATCCCATTCTATTTTCTTGTGGCAGGTACAACTTAATCAATGATAAGCCCTGTGCAAGGTCAGAGAGAAGCAGAAGACAATTGGTACTGACTGGTTTTGCAGTTTCTGCAGTCCAATGAGGTGTTTCTCATGCTCCCAAGCCAGCTCCTTTTGCACTAACTGGATTCTCTGTGCTGTCTGCCTGTTCAGCTCCTCAAAGATCCTATGGTCCATCTCATACTCCTGCAGAGAGACAGACAACTCAATCTCATGATCTTGTAATATAAAACTCAATATTTTTGCCCAGGTGCCAGAGTTCCATGCACATCAACACAATCCTTTACTTCAGGAGCTATTCAGATCTCCACAGAGAAACACTTTTTCCCCACATGGAAACAAAATTTTTCCCCAAATGGCACAAGTCACCAGCTGTGATTCAGAAGTCACAACAAATTAGATATTCACAGAACTACTTTAATCCAAAGGGTTGGACAGCTTTGGTCCTAACACATCAGGTAGCAATCTTTTAGGAAAAGGTGCCTCTAAAGGTAAATGACCTTTATAAAAAGCAGATGTACCTCTCTGTGCAGCTGCATGTGTTTGGGTAACTCCTGATTTTTTTGAAGAAGAAAAAGAAACTCCTGCCTCAGTGCAGCTAACTCCTCCCTTTTCTTGGTTTTCTTTTCTTCAGCTTCCCTCATTTTCCTTTCATGCTCCTTTTTCTGCTTGACTTCCTCAATGCTGAGAAAGGAAATAGTGTTATCTCAATGGAAGGTAACTTAGAATGGAATCATATTCTTGTAGATGTGTCCAGTCCTAACATGATGGGACTCTGAGCTTGTGTTGTCTCTGTAGTCTTAAGTCTCAGAGTATCATATTTGAATTACTGCCCCAGGAAAGGAGATGAAATAGAGAGAAAGGCTGAAAAAACAAAGAGATGACCCAAATTCAGGGTGAGAATCAAATTCTCCCTCCACTTAGGAGGCCAAAAGAAGTATGTGGTGTGAAGAAAGAGCTACCAAGACTTGAAAATCTCTTCCATCACTATGCAAGCATCTCTTACTTGTAGGCATTGGGGTCTTCAATGTCTTCAGTTGCCTCCTCCTCCTCAAGACCACTCTGAAAGAAAAGAGTTACCTTGTCTTTAAACCAGCAATAAGTTTCAACAGACAATAAAGCTTTTACAAACATAAGGCAGAGCTCCCATTGCCTCTGACAAAACCAAAAGGATCCTTCATGATCAATATTGCTGTATGGGACTCAAATACCAGGTTTCAGTGTTTCAAGAAGAAAAAGCAATTATGTTGGTTTACATGTAAAAGAACTAATGAAACAGTTCTTAGAAGCAGAGAACATAAATCTTGTATCCTCCTCAACATAACCATAACATCTTTGCTTGTCCTAACTTCACTCTGCCCCATAACATCTTTGGTTTTCTACCCCCCCCAACCCCAAATCTCTTGTCTCCCCTCACTGCCATGTTGACAAGAGACAACATATCCTGGACTGATTCCAAGTTATATGTGTAATTAATCTGGTTTGCTTCTGCTGAATAATGGATTCACAATTATTAGCTGTGAAGAATGACAGATGGATGGACATTGCAGTCACACAAGCCTCATTTCCCTAGGCAATCATGCTCAAAAAAAAAAGAGGGGGGCCTATCACCCTACAGAGAATACAGTTGTACTAAATTGATCTGTAATTTAACTCAATTAGTTTCAGAGGATTTGTATTTCATTCTCAAGAATCTCATTAAGTTTAATGAAGATGGAATTTTTAAAGTCTTCCACATGACTTAAAACTAGAATAGATAATGGAGATATACTTTGATAGAGGGAAAACTCTATTAGGATGGTCATTAAGCAGTGTTGTTACCCTGAACAATAGGAATCAACCATAAAGATCTTTATAGAGAGCTACTTACAGCCTCAAAATTATAAAACTATATATGCTTTATAATTGTGTATTAATCACTCCTTGTAATGCTGGAGACAGCAAGGCTCTGATATCACAGGTTGCCATCATTCACTTAGTTCAAGAGAATTATTTTGAGTCTATTCTCAGTACTATATATTGTAAAGAATAAATTATAACATAACAGACTCAACAGGACTCACTGTTTCCTTTAAGTTATTTGTTTAATTCAGGCACTCAGATTTTTTTAAACTGGGGAGTGGGTGAGATGACAGTGGGGTGCTGACACCTCTCTCTCTTCTTGTGTATGAATGGTTGAGTCCCACTGTCATCTGTTCAAACATTCTAAAGGTGATTTGCTTTTCAAATGGAAGATCTATGATGTCAAATAATTGACCTGTAGTTTCATAGTACATAGCCCTGATTTCAGTACTACATATTGTAAAGAATAAATTCCAACATAAAAGTGCTATTATTGTACATAATAGCACTTTTTTACTTAACAGGACTCACTGTTTCCTTTAAGTTATTTGTTTAATTCAGGCACTCAGATTTTTTTAAACTGGGGAGTGGGTGAGTTGAAAGTGGGGTGCTGACACCTCTCTCTCTTCTTGTGTATGAATGGTTGAGTCCCACTGTCATCTGTTCAAACATGCTAAAGGTGATTTGCTTTTCAAATGGAAGATCTATGATGTCAAATAATTGACCTGTAGTTTCATAGTACATAGCCCTGATTCCATGAAAGAGGGCTGCAACTTACCCTAGGGGAGGGGATTTTGGCTTTTAACTCTTGGTGAACGTCTTCTGGAGACAAGATGTTGAAAGAAAAAATGTTTCCATCTCCACCACAAGTAAGCAGAAACTTATCATCATAACTAGAACAGATCTTCTGGATCTGGCCATAATCATTGTCATGTACATTGAAGGACCAGTATTCCTTCACAGTGTCCACTGAGAGGTCTTCATCTTGGAGAGGATAGACACGCAGAGCACCATCCTGCATCCCACAGAACATCAGCAGCCTGCTGCTGCTGTCAGAGGAGCAAAGAGAAACAGTAATAACAGCAGGAAGCTTGTAACCAGTAAGCCCACAGCTCAAACAGACTTGAAAAGAGCTAATCTAGCTTAATAAATGCAGCTTTCCCAAGTGTGTAAGGTGGGAGCAAAGTATTTGGATCATATAAAGTATGTGTGATACTATCACATTTTTTTTTTCCAGCTAATTGGCTACTTAGGAATGTTCCAGCACTTGCTGGGTATGATGGAACTGGTGCAGAACACACCCAGCCTTACAGGGAACCTAACACTGGGAGTCTGAAAACAGTTCACCAATTTAATTCACACAGCTCACAACGTCCCACTGTGTCCACTAGGAATTTTAAGTGAAACTCAGTGCCAAGAAAACCAGAGAGGGTTCCTGCCTACTAGAGTTGAGCCATGACTAAAAAGTGACAGAGCAATGTACCCTCCTCTCTTCCAAGTTCAACTTCATCCAGCTCTATCACAAAGCCATCTGTTACATTGTTTTACCAGAAGGAGATGTGGTGGATGGGATTGTTGTCAGTGTCCTCCATAGGGATCACTTCAAAGGGTTCATCCTTCCTGTTTTCAGGATCTTCTTCCTGATCATGTGAGAATTCACAGTGATAGAGGAACCCTGAGTCATATCCACCCTGAAAAAGAGAAGGGCCATAAAGAAATGGTGACAGAAGAACACTGAAGCAGCTGACCAGGTACAAGCAGCTTTTAGGATAATTCTTCCTTTCTTAAGCTTCTACAGGAAGTTAGAAAATGCTCCTTCCACACATCTGGAGATCCTGTTTACCTACAGAGAAAAAATCTATCATGATCACTGGCATTAAAAGCCACCCTACTGATATGTTAAGACTGTGCCTTCTGGTTGTGAGGGAACAGCCTGGTCCTTGTGCCCATTGAGGCACCACTGAGAAGTGTAGCTGTTGGAAATATGAATTGGAGTGACACTGCTCATTTACTCCACAAAGATCACTGCCAAGTGTGAAGGAAATCCACATCCTAGAGATGGTGAGTTTCAAATCATCAGTTTTCTAAGGCACCAAGTTGTGAAGGGAAGGTTGTCACATCTTGTAATCACATCAACATAACATAAAAATTGGTTTACCAAGGAAAGCCAAAATTTTCCTGGTGCTGAGTAAAACCCACAGAGGATGGGACTGGGCTCCTCTGGTATGTAGAGAGGTGGCAATGGCTCTTCTTCTATCTCCTTTTCCTGCTTTAGTGATTCAAGTTCTGCATTCTCCTCCTCCTGCTTTCTTTTCTCTCTCAGTGCGATCTCTTCTTCCAGCTGTTACAAGGAGACAAACACAGAGACATGAAACCAAGGCACTCCCACACATTACTGACTGAAGGAGTCTCATATATGAAATCCAGAGTGGTCCTGGCATTATATATAGAGAACATCTAGAAAAATCTTCTTTTTCATCAGCTAAGCAGAGGTCAACCCAACTTCACAGGGATCCCCAGTGGAATGTCCCCCTTTCCCTTCTCCAATTTTAATTGGTGGTCCTTTGAAACAAACCTTTCTGCATCAGAAGCAGACTTCAGTATTTTCTCAGAGAGATTATTCCCAATATTAACCACTATGAGCATATTATTTCTGCAACACTCACAAACCTGCCCAGAAGAAAGAAAAGCTCTGGAAAGCTGAACTCAGATTCCAAGATTCTAGTGCATCACTGGTGTAGAGTAAAAGAGAGAAGCTGTAAAGGACTTGACTTCTTCTGAGCAAAGAAGGGGAGACATTTGCAGATATATAAAACATTAAAAACCTCCTTTCCATTCAAGCCTTCTGCAGCAAATATCAAACATTCTCTAAAACAGAAGCTTCCTCTGAAGATATTAGATAGCAAATCATAGAGAAAAGTCTAGAAAGGATCTCAAAAAAAAGCATTCTCCTGCCCAAAAGCAGAATCAGAGAAACCTTAAATATTATCAGTTGGTGTTTGTCTGACCTGCCCTTTAAAAGTCTGCTATGGGGACTCTACAGCCTACACAAACTATCTCATTACCTTAATCATTAGAAATCTTTCCTTACATCTTATTTAAAACATCCTTGTTGCAGCTTATTAATTATTGATCTATCCCTGGAGGAAAAATAAATCACTTAATATTCTTTATCTCTGTAGAAACCTTTTTGGTTTTTAAGGATTTATAGTGCTTTTCAATAATATTCTTCTCTTTTGACTTAAAATTAACAAAAACATCAGCTTGCTTTTTAATTTCACAGAATTAACTATAGCTGAGGACTGGCATAACTCTTTTCCTTTGGCCCTGTATGTTTTCTAAAATGCTAGTTCTCCTTCAAAAATAAAAACCATGCCTTTAAAGCTGTTACAATGCTTATATGAAAAAAAATACATAAATATCTATTTCATTATTTAAATTAAATATAAACTTCTGGACTCCAGGGCTAACATCAAACACAAACCCTGTACTTTTCCTACAAATTACCAAATGAAAATGTTTTAAGAAATAAAGTGCTATACTACCTTTCCCTTTCAGTAATGCTACCTGTTAATTCTAATGCACATCATGCTCTCAGTGTGATGTATGTTCTATTTGAATAAAGAAACAACAACCTGTCATTTCAAATGTTGAAACTCAGCCACAAATGGACTCTACCTGGTCTTCTCCTTCAAAATCCTGGCACATAATATAGGGACTAGAAAACATTTTGGGTGGTTTTGTCCTCTAGCATGTGAGGAACATAGAATTCCTCCACAGGAGAGTTCTTTACCTTGATTTGGGATTTAATACTAGAAAAATGGAAGTACTGTGTTGGCAGGTTTTTGATCTGATAGGTGGACACTGTCTCCTGCTCCCCAGGAAGAGGGGCAGGAACCTGCAGAGCGAAGCCATTCTCACAAAGGATGAGCAGTGTGCTCTTTGCCTGCATAAAAACACACAAAAAAATACAAATATAGGGCAGATGTAGACATGGAATTGAGAGAAATGGGAAAAAGTTAGTCAGAAGATGCACAGGAACAAAGCCAAGCTCCAGGCAGGAGGCATTAACTCTGTGCTCTAATTTAAATGGACATTTTAAAATGGGCATCAGAAATTGGGGAGCTTCTTTTATACTCTGTGTCCTAGGCAAAACCAAGGAATTGAAGAAGTCCCTGCCCTGTACCAAACAGCTCTCATTCTGACACTGGCTAGCCTGGGGGCAGCAGGATGGTATTTTGGGAGTTTTGAGTCAGATCCATCTTTTAATTCAACCAAAGTTAGGAGCTGAGGCTTTGTTTTGGTAATTGCTTGAAAGTTCACATATTTCTACACTAATATATCCCTTATATCTTTATGATTCAGCTTGAAATCTTGCCAAATGCTGTTTAGCTCTGAGTTTACTCTTTGGTGGTACCTGCCAGGTCCTTTAAAATGCAAAGTTAGGAAGCACAGACAAGGTAAGGGTAATAATGATTTAGTGCTTTGAGATTTTTAAAGGCAAATCTGTATTTAATTTCAAATTTAAAGGAGGCATATTAGAGCTGCTATGGAAACCTTAACTTGAAATGCTCTTACATCTAAGCTTTGCCTCTCTGTACCAGTGTAACACACCTTGCTGGCCATCTTCTCAGTGTCTAAATAGAATGAACAATCTCCTCTCTAAATAAGAATAATGGATCCATCAAAATTTCAGATGCAACTGTAACCTTATAAAACTTTTAAAATATGAGCAAGAATCTATTTGAATATGCCACTGAGGCACATCAGAACTCCAAGGAGCACCCAAAAGCTTTCTTACTGTGGTCCAAAAGCTTTGCAAAAGCCTGTTTTAATGTGGGCAAGAGGCACAGGCAATAATATCCAGCTCTTTTATCAAAGAAGACTAAAAGCTTCTGACAGCTAAGGCAGAAGCTTGTTTCTTCAAGGCAGGAACTCAAAAAGCTGAGCAAAACTTTGGTTTTTTTGCCTATGTTTCTGTGCTTTTTTAGCCCAAAATATGTCCAAAGTGTCCAAATCAGAGATGCAGCTGCACAGAACTTCTGTCATGCTGAAGCAGCTTGAACAACAAAGTAGCAAAACATTGTATTGTCCATAAAAAACATGACTAGGGTCATAGATCTTCATCTGTTTTCACTGGAAGTTCTTTCCAAAATGACATTTTAACACTGTAGGGAAGGGAAGGGAAGAAAACAAACCTTCATTACTCACATGAGAAGGTGGAGACCACTGTAATGCCTGCACAGGTCCAGGGACACAGATAAACCCAATTGGCTCATATTTATCTCCAACAGCAAAAAAGAAAACAGTCTTGTCTCTACTCTGAGAAAAAAAACAACAAAGATGATCACTGAATCAAAAATTTGAAAGATTTATTACTTTGGCATAAAATGCTTTTACTCTTCCAATGGAAGTGCTTTGACTATTCCAGGATACCACTAAACTAAGCCCAAAATGAACCAAATCCATCTCCAAAAGGGATTGCAGTATTGACATTAAACAGTCCAGTAATTCACAAAATTAATTGTATGAATTCCATGGTTCCTTTCCTTCAGGAAACAAACCTGACTGCAGACAGATCCTCCTCTTCCCCCAGCACTGCAGAGAACTACAGGCAGTGACCAACAGCAGGAACAGAACTGTGTTAGTAATCAAACTTTCTCTCTTTTAATCATCTCTACATTTGTGGACTGATAAAAAAGAAGCATCAGAAGTGACACATACCCCCGTGGCAAGCACTTCTCCCTTTCCTTCATATGCCAAGGCTGTAACTGCAGCAGAATGAGGTTTGAAAGCTTGTTTCAGGTGTATCTCTGCTTTCTGTGTCCTGGGTTGTCCTGCAAGCACGGGCAGTCCTTGGGGATCATAGACTTCAATCACACGGACAACACCATCTTCAAAGCCCACAGCAATCAGGCCTCCTTTAGGATTCACCTTGGGGTGGAGGAATGAAGGGGAAAAAAAATCACAGTGTATCTGAGAGCTCAGAATTCTTATCTGTGTGGTGGGTGCCCTGGTGTTAACTTGTAATTCATGTTACTTGGAAGTGTTGCAAAAGCACAAAGAATGTTTCATACATGGGAAGTTTTCTTTATTCTCTCTAATCAGCTGCTGTAAAGGAGTGGGAGGATTGGGGGATATTGTTTGGTTTGGACTGTGGGGTATTCTTTCACTGGTAACATGCCAGTGGGACTGGAAATGTTAATGAGGATGTGGTTTTAATGCTTGAGGAAGATCTAATTCACCCTGGTGTATAAATATATCAGTAGTTTCTTATTTTAAGAACAATGGAAATCTAAAAAAGCAATTATTACACTACCCTGCATACAATGTTGTGGGCAGGATTTTTGAGGACGTGAGGGCACAGGCTTGGATCTGGCTGACTCCATCTAAAGTAGTTTTCAGCAGGGACAGCATGGAAAAGGGAGGCATGGAGCCTTTACCATGGGCCCTGTACAAAAGCCAACTGCTAACAACATAGGCTTGGCCTGAGAGAGAGAAGAACTGGCAGAAACCAGCCTGTGTTTGAGCAGGGTCTAGCTGGACATGCAGGTTTAGCTGATGTTAACCCTCCCCAGCAGGGATTTACAAGCTGAGTCAGCTGCAGGCATGGTCAATATTCATGTACAGGAGGAATGAGACCAGCAGAACTGCTGTGTAAAGAGGTGAATGGTTAAACTCTGGGAGCAATCAGCCAAAGTATGATCTGAGATACAAAAAAAAGTTGTTATCAAGAAGGTAGATGGGGGGTGACTGTCTTCCCATTCTCTGGGGAGATCAGCCCATGATGTCTCATCTTAAAAAGCCCCCCTGTAATATGCAGGTGTATGACAGCACTGCTCAGGAAATGACCCAGAGGAGTCCCTCATGGACCTCAAGTTCATGGTTCTGCATTTGACTCCATCATTCCCTCATCTTTACTGGGGAGCCAGCACTCCAGATGTGGCCTCCCCAGTGCTGAGCAAAGAGGGAGGATCACCTCCCTCAGCCACGTGGTAACACCTTTCCCACTGCAGCCCAGGATGCTGCTGGACTACTCTGGGTTCATTGCTGGCTCATGGGCAGCTTGGTGCCCCCCAGGACCCTAAAACACTCCCCTTGGTTTCCAGCTGGTGAGATTCCAGCCTGTACTGGTGCCTGGGGTTATTCCTGCCACACTGTCCCAGCATTACCCTCACCTTGGAAATTCAGGGAAGCATTTCCCTCCAGAAATTTGCTTCTAATTAACCCACCAGGCTTGCAATGTTTCCTCAAGAAGAAAACTAGCTACTATGTTAATTAAAATTAGCAAATATGTCTAAAAGTGATAGACTCCACACTCCACAAATGATCAGTCCTGGTAACAGTTTTTCATGATTTCTCTCCAAATGTTTGTGGATTGTCTGGGCTGTCGTTTCAAAATGTGTTAACTAACTCATGCTAATTAACAATTACTCTTTGTGGGTTAAATAGAAGCTGTTAGTCTATAAACTAAGACAACTTCCTGGGTCTGCACACTGAGATTGGATTTTAGAATCCCAGGAAAACAAAATAGGGCACCTGATAACCCACAGTATAGTCAAAGTGTACATACTATATACAGTAAATCCCACTGTGGCCCAGCAGTGACTTCTTTAAAGTCTTGTATGGTCAGCAACCTTATTGGTGCTGGCAGCTTTCATAGGTCTCAAAAATTCCCTAAAATTTTTGTTAAGAAAGTAGCAAAAAACTCACAACAGGAGGTGCCCACAGCAGTGCTGTTCCTCCTTGGTTAAACTTCATTTCACTCAGCTGACAGTTGCTGCTGAAGTCATAGATACGTACTGACCCTGTGTGGAAAGGAGACAGTAAGGAGTTATTTCTTGCAAGGCTTATGGAGAAAGGTTTATTTATTTGAATTAAAAGCTGGGGAGAATGTTATTCATTTTTCTAAGTATCAAACACCTGCCTGGAAAGATGCAGCTGGTGGTTACAGAGTACCACAGGCAGCATGGTGCTCTTGAATAAGACAAACTTTCTTCACTGTACCTTGTATGCTCCCAAGAGGTAAGGGTTGTAATAACAAGTCCCAGTCTAACCACCATGGGCAGTTTTCAAGTAAACACAGAATTGTGGCATACTGTAAGGAAAATCTGTGCTGGCAATGTAGGAAAATAGGATGTGCTACCACTTGGGATTGCCTAGGGAGGAAAATATTTCAATGAGAGACTGTCCAAAGGAAAGTGGGTGTCACCAGAGGTGAAATTACCAGATTGGCAGACATATTGCTCTGCACAGAGTTCCATTCCAGCTGGCATATATCCTAAGTGTCATTTGCTCAACTGGTAGGAGTTTGTCTTCAGGCTAGAAGAGCATGTAGATTGTGTAACACAGACAAATGACAAGGCACTGCTGACAAGAATTGAATTAAGGACCTTGTAGCATTTTCTGAGAAGTGTAAATGACATTATTAACGTTCTGGCTGGTGGGTCTCTCTCAAAGCAGGAAAAAGCTGACTGTGAGAGGCTTAAAATGCAACATCAGCTCAATAGAACCATAATCACACGTTAGCTGTTGTTCAGAGTATGATAGCTATTGCATTTTCTAAGAAAGCCATAACAATATTCACAATGACTTACTCCATGCTAAAGATGTGCATGATTCCTTACAGAACATAAATCCCAACACAGATTGATCTAGAGCCTTCAAAAGAGTGCTGATATTCAAAGCAAATCTCACCTCTTCAGCAGTTCCCTCAGAATGAACAGAATTTAGTTTCCCACTGAGAACTTCACTTGTTCAAACCCCAGGCTTTTAAGATGAAGCAGTCTTAATGCATTATATCCAAATATTAATTGCCTTAACTATTAAAGAACTGATCCCAGGAGTGACAATTGTTCATAGAGTGATTTTTAAAGAGTAAATACACAACTTCAGTGCCAAAAGGAGTAGTTCCAAACCCAGCATTACATGGAATGAGATGAAGGGAGTAGCATCCTTACGGTCAAGAGCAGTGGTGGCCATAAGGTAGGTGACAGGAGAGACACTCATGGCCTCAATCCTTCCAGAGTGAAAGGTAGCCAGGCACTCTGGGTCACAGCTCTGCAGGGCAAAAACAGGAGAGCAGAAATTCAGCTGCATTCTGGAGCTCCACTTGGAAGATAGTACCAGCCATACCTACAGCAAACCTGTAAAATCTAGAGAGGTGCTTTTTGGGTGAGCAAGATTTGGCATATGTCAGCAAAATTGGCACACCAATGTTAAGTTCATTTAAAATGTCATCATTTTCTATGTGAAAATAAAGATTAATCCCTTTCATTAAGTGATTTCAAGCTTCAAATTAGTGTTTTTAACAAAGCTGTTGCTCTGAAGGCAAAGAATGCTCTCAAACCTAGGGCTTATGTTGCCTGGGAAGTCATTTCATCACCCAAGGAATTCTAGGGTTTGCTATACAGTTTTTACAGTAGTTTTTACAGTATAACTTGTATATCTTTTATTTACCATAAAATTCTTGGAACATAATTTTACCTGTTGCCACAGAATTTCATTGCACTCAACAGGGTCGTTCCCATTGACTTCAGTATGGTCAGGAGCAAAGATTAAAGGCTCCAAATTTAACTGTATCATCTATTTCTCCTTCAAAAACATCTCCAGCAGTAACACCAGTAACCAGCAAGGTAAAACATGTGAAGTACATTTCATATTCTCCTTGTTTTTCCTAGTTCTTTATGTCATTTAGAGACAACAGTAAGGATTGTTTCAAACACCTATCTAGAGAGGATACATCAGCACTCCCTGAATTCTTTTCCTGCATTCATGCAACTTTTCTTGCCAGTTTATGAGAACAAAACTCCTCTAAAGTAACTTGAATTTGGCAGCCAAAATTTCAGGGATCAAAGATGAAATTATTTTTTCCAATCCTGCATGATCATTATAATCAATGACTTTATGTAAATAAATCAAAAAGGATAAAGTTTTCAACTCTGCAGCTTCATAAAACACAAACTTAATTGGAGATGCTGCCAGTATAGTTAAGAGAAGTTATTGCAAAAGAATTGAAATAATCAGAAGGAAAAGAAAGCAAACTTACTGTATCTTGAAAAGACAAATCCAGCTTCCAGATTGCTCCATTGGTGTCCTGAACAAGAAAAAACAACAAAACCTGTAACTTGAAGAGTTGCAAACTCCATTTGGAAATAACACTGCCCACAGTGACTGCTTAAAAACTCTTTCATGAGTAGCATTGTGAAACTGAAGTGACTGAATGTGGTGATGTTGGTCTTATCAACCCCATCCCTCAGTCCAAGACAGGACTTGGATGATACTTTTTGACATTTCCCTGTTCTTATGCAGTTCTGGCTCTGAAAGCCAGGGTCTCACATGTTGTTATACACTAAAAATAGAGCATAGTTCTGTTGGAAGACACCTACAGCAATCATCTAGTCCAACTGCCTGACCAATTGGGGGTGGACCAAGTTACAGCATGTTATTAAGGGTGTTGTCCAAAGGCCTTTTAAACAGTGAGAGGTTTGAGGCATTGACCACCTCACTAGGAAGCCTGTTCCAGTGTTAGAGACAAGGTTTTATATACATATATATAAAAAATGTATCATATATTATAGATGATGATTGAATTCTACCCAAAAGAAACATTCTGAGCCAGAATGGACTCCTGCTGTCACTTAACATCACCTCCCTCATTTTGGTTTTCTTCACAGAGATACTTGAGTGCCTCTTACCTGAGCATACCACAGGGGCTGTCCAGAGTCAGGGACTTTTGAGATGAAACTCAGACTGACATCCCTGCCAACCTGAAGTTCATTCATAGGCTTCACTTCTAGTAATCCTGTGTCATCCACAGCATCAGCAGCATCTATGGTCTCAAAGCTCCACACCTTCACAGTGTTGGAAGCAGGGAAAAATGAAATGGGTTTTTTAGAAGGCTGGGTTATGTTTTTATGTGTGGATAATATTGAAATTCAAAATGATAGTGTAATTATAGTGTAGATTCTACAGGTAGGGTATGAAGCCTGCCACACCAGCCTCACTGCTTTGAATGTAATCTAGAACAGGGACAATCAGCACCTACTATCTATTACATTTGGGTGCAATGAAAAGTATATGTAAAAACTGTCCAATTCTGAAACAACAGTAGCTTAAATTCTGCCCTGGCACCAGCAGAGCTGCACATGGCAGCCTCAAAACTACAGAAATGAAACTCTATCTGCCTTCCTCTCAGCATTGGTCCTACTGAGGCAGCACAGAAGAAAAAAATGGGACAACAAACACATCTACATTCTGCTCTGTGGGATAAGGACAAGGCATCTGTTGGCACCCTTATAACCAAGTGAATGTTCCTGATAGGATAATATCAATTTATAACACAACAACATAAACTCCAGGGTGTTTAAAATCTTCCACTGTCTCTAACAGTCAGCTTCCCACTGATTATCTGGGTCTTTTCACACATCAGCAGAAGATACATCATGTCTTCCCTTAAAGAGCTGGCAAACAAGATAGCAAAATTCTTGATAACTGACAGGTGAGATCAGAAAGTGGTGATATGGAGAAGAAACTTTTTAAACCTTATTTATAGAACCATGTGTTACCTTCAGGATGCTTTTTCTATTAATTGTTCCTCTGTTTCAGTGTATGTGTCTCTGAGATGCTAGTTAATTTCTGTCATCATAATAATCTGAGCTTGCAAATACTCAGAAAATGAATTTCAAATAGTGCTGTAGTTTATTCTTTGAAATAGCACCAAATGTATGAATAGGCCTGAAAATGATAAAGATTACCCAAAACTACATAGGAAAAAAAATGTTAGAATGTAGGCAAGAAAGCTGATAGAGAATAATTAAAAATGGTTTTGATTTATTAGAGTAAAAGATGATTTATTTACTGCTGTTAAACAGAGAACACTATCTGATTCAAAACCCACACACTGTGATGTGCTCCTCTTCTGTCTGTTCTAAAAAATTCCTTCTCAGAAAGAAACCACACTGCAAAATTACCTCCATAAATAAGCCCTGGTAAAGAAAACATGTCACATTTACCTGCTGACCACAAATTTGCTCACCTAAAGGCAGAGCAGAATCAAAACTCACCCGAATGAAGCCATCTTTTCCAACAGTGACAAGTTCTCCTTCATCCAGAACTACCTGGCTGACAGGGCCACTGTGGCAGGGCTTGTGCTCAGCTTGACAGAGCTCCACTTTGATGAGGCCCCCTTCCCAAAGCAGCAAGTTGCCCCACTCAGTTCCAGAGATAACCTTCAATGCAAAGGAAAATAAACACATAAGCCATGCAGGAATCCTGGCAAGAAGCTGGTCAACATTTGTGGCTTCCTTCCTGAAAGCATTGAATCAAGAGCAATGTGCAGATATTTGCAATAGAAGGTGCAAAGGGTGAGAGGATTCAACTTTTTTGAGCAATGTCACTTAATTTCCATGCACTGAAATCAGATCAGGGCTAACAGTCTTTGTGTGTCTTTACAGTAACATTTTCACTACCCCATTAGAGCAGCCTCAGCTCTAAGCCAAGAGATCTTTTGTCTGGGAATTACAATACTAATTGTACTTTTCAATTATTAAAAAACAAGCCAGCTTTTGTGGAAATTAATGTCAATATTAGCTTCTCAGAGCAGGGCATTGAAGGCCTAATTAAAATCAATTTGAATTAAACAGCAACTCTCCAACTGACTCAGTAGACCTTGTATCAAAACCTGAGAGGAAACATAAAATCAGTTGAACTTTTTCTTACTTACCTTCCCATCAGGTAGCTCCACATAACCTACAATGTCTGTCACTGCTGTTTTTCCAAACCTGCCCAAACTTCCCTGTAACTTGAGGCCAGTGAATGTGAGAGCCATCTTCCAGAACCTGAGTACAGAAAAACCTAAAAACACTCTTCAGTCCCTCTCAAACGTTGGAATCATCTTACCCAGGGTGCCTCTGAGGGAAGGCCTGTTCATTTATTGCTCTTTTTCACAGGAAACCTTGAGGGTTTCTTTTTCAATTGAGAAAAAGCTTTGTAACTACAAATATTACAAATATTTCCCTATACTAACCCTCTGAAAAAGCAAGGGGAAAGATTTTAATAGTAGAAAACATAACTTTAAATCACTGCATTACAGAAAAATTAACATCTACTGCAATTAGAGATGTTGCACTGTGTGTGCAGGAGACATTCCATTTAAGACAGGTGTTGGAAACTGGAATTTGAGACCACAGTTGGGTGAAAGGTCATTTTTCAGCACGTTATAAAATCTATGTCAAAGTTTAGTCATAGTACTTTAGCTTAAAAGAAAATTTATAAGAGGTTTTGTTTTGTCAGTTTTCCATAAATAATGTATCCTAAACAATATTTGTTCTGGGACTCAGTGAGACATTTGCTATTTCAGACCCACCTTGCAATCAAACTATAGAGCAAATCTTGGGGTTTGATTTGATTTCTCTGTTAAAATCCAAAGAAACTTTAGATGTGTTATTAATTTAATGATATAATTTCTATTACAGTAACATCCAAGCCATACCTTAACACTGAACACAGGACAAACAAAGAACATGAAGCTGTCCCAAACTTGTGATTTATATAGGCAGATATGCTATTTTAACAGCTAGTAGCCATGTAGATATAAATATTTCTTAAAAAATTCTCCCCAATACTGGTTTAAATGACAAGAATGGAGCAAGTGATACCAACATCAAGCCCAGCAGAGCAAAGGTGTTAAAAGTCTTGGCTGACTGACTGAAGGATTTGAGCTTTTTCATTCTTCTTATAGTAATTGGTATAATCATTGCTCCATGTTTGCTCACAACACCTTCCTTTTAGTCATCTTCTACATATTATGACTTCAGAGGTGATATGTATTAATCCTAATCAGTAAACTTACCTGATGTGTCCTGCTCCAGATGTTGTTAGTTGCTCTTCATTCTCAGCAGAAAATGTGACCTTGTAAACATCCTGAGAAAAAGCTTTGGACCTCAACACAATCTTCTCTTGTCTCCAGTCCCAGATAGTCAGCATGTAGTCAGGGCTGCTCCCAACACTAGCCAGCAAAGTGCCAGCCTTGTTGAAATCACCAAAAACATAGGCTTCCTCTGTTCCACCTGAAGAAACATAACAGACCCAAGATGCACACACAGAAAAGAGGAAGAAACTATAGGAAAATCAACCTAGAAGGAGCTCAGCTTTCACTGCACTCATTTTTTTTCCACTATGTAATAGCTCTCAGTTTGATTTTTCTACTAAATAAGTGTTTCCAGCCATGCAATAATGAAAAAGCTTGAAACAGGTGTTTACTATTTTACTTTTGAAGGACCAAAAGGTTGTCTTCCCTTCTCAAGTGACCCACTGCTCCATCTGCTGGGATCTATGAACACCAGCCTGTTTGTTTAAAATGAAAACAGAACTTTTTACACTACCTTGTAGTATTCTGTAGGGTCTCAGTGAAGGATATTCATAGATGATGAGATTGGGCTTCTTTCCTTTTTCTCCTACTGCAAAGTACTGCTTAGTAGGGTGTGCCTTGAAAAAGCAAAAGTCCCATTACGTGCTGTAGTGACACCTTTGCCTCTGCCCTGCTAGTTATTGAGTATTTACAGACTCATTAGTGGAAAGATATTGCCATAAATACTAGGTTGCATTTGTACACGTGTTTATTCACAACTGCCAAACTATTGCTCAGTCTCAGAATGAAGCTGTTGTGCACACAGAATGGGGAAACCATTATGGACACACAATGGTGTATTGCACACGTTGTGTATCACAAAAACTGTGAAAGAATTTTCACCAATTTTCACCATTTTCTTTACCATGCATTCTTTTACTGTTCCTACCTCACTCAACCACTAATTGACCTTTCCACGAGCAGCATTTGTGTCAGCAGCCATCTGCTTCAGCAGACAGCTGCAGAAAAGCTATCCTGAAAGACATGGTTCTGAAGATATAAAGGTGTCTTGTGATTCCTCAGAAAAAAGCTGAGTTCAAAAGCTCTAGAAAGTGATTAACATCCTAAAACATGCAACAAAAAAACATACCATGATGAAACCAATTCCACCACCACTGCTGCTCCGGAGATAACTTTGAGATTTAGTTTTCAGGTCCAGGATCACCACTTGGTTGCCTGCTATATACATGAGTGTTTGGGCATCCATAGGCAGCAGGTTTGCACTTCGGGTGCAGTCATAGCCAAAAGAATGTCTGAGAACAGCTCAGGAAGGAAAAGTTTGATGCCATCTCTCTAGAAAAATGTACTAAGAGGATAGAAACACTTAGATGAAAACTGCCATGAGAATACTCCATCTGGTGAGTAAAAGCCTGATGGCAGAAGACAGTTTTGTTCATTATACAGTGAAGGTAAAATATATCAAGCCTCTAAAACTGAGGGGAAGGTACAAGGAAAGACCTCCTGAAGTTTATGTTCCACCCTTTCCTCTCCACTAAAGGGCACAACTCTTGCTGCTGCCAGATCCTTTGGGGCTGAAAGGAATTCAGATTCTATCAGTGTTCTCAAACAAAATGTAAGAGACGTGGATTAGATCACTAGGAACTGTTCTAGAGACAAGAGATCAAACTGAGGAAGTTTCAAACTCACTTCTTAAATGTTTACAGGCAGATGTAGAGAAGGGAAAATCTAGTCTTCAACAGCAACTTGACTGTCTGCAGAGAAACCCACCAGCACTTACACAAGCCACATATCATATCCTACCTGACCATACTTAGCAAAAGATTTCCTGTAGCTCTTAATTGATGGGCATTGTTTCCTTCACTCTACCAGGCTAGAAATCTCTCTGGGTTTTACCCTGCTTCTCCCTTGGCAGTTCTCTGAGGAAGTATGAGGTACACAGCTGCTCTTCTCCTGCCCTCTGCCCAGCTTCTTGGGGAACACCAGTGTGTCTACATGGAAAGGGAGGGCTTTGCAGGGGATATTCTTATGCTAGTCTTCTCCCTGGTCACATTAACTTGCCCATGATCTAGTTCTGCAAAAGTACCTATGACAGGAAGATTAAATTCACCCAGAACCATGGCTGGTCAGGATTCTTTCCTGTGTCTCACAGGCAGGTCTCGAACAACTCTCTGCTGCCAGCTCTCCATGGGCCAGCAGATTCTGAAGATCCACCCTAGTTCATGGTGAGGAGCAGCACAGGCAAGGAGGGGGAGCAGTAGGGGGAGCAGCTCCTGACATGGGGGGAAGGAAACTATATATATACATATATATAAAAATATGTATTTTTGAGTTAAAGTGTGAGAAATAATGAGACCCACAATTTGTAACATGCTAGCTGATGAATCACATGCTTTCACTGTGCTTGGACATCAGGGGTATTCACCTTGCTGTACAAGTGTTTTACTTTCATTAATAAAGTAATATTTAAATTAATTAGGAGATGAAGGCAATGATGAGATAAAGGCAACTAAATCAAGCCCCCATGGCCTCTCTGGTGCTGGCACTGCTGTGTGCATCGTGCAGATCAGGAAGAAGCAGCGTGGTGCTGGTGGAGTATGAGGAGGCTGAGAAGGATCCTGGAGTGGTGGGAAGTCATGCCTGTAAATCTCTCAATTTAAAAACCAACATTACTTCCTAAAAAAAGAAGGGGAAAAAAAACCCAGAGCATGGCAGATGAGCTTTCAGGCAGTGCCTTCTCCATCTCCCATGACAGGCCTGCATAGAGTTATCTGTGCTAAGTGGGCTGAGCAAACTTGTCCCATTCCACACACAGCCTACTCCAAATTAGACAAGTATCATTTTAAGAACATATATTTCATATCCTCAGCTTTACATTTTTACAGCCTCAACAGAAAGGATACTTAAGAGTTAGAAGGTTAATGGGTATCCCAGAGTCTTCAGTGACAAATGGCCGTGAATATATATCTTCATACTCGTAGAAGAAAGTTTCTGAGGTTGTCTTTTCTACCTTCTCAGGACTTTTTTGTGCCTCTGAGGGTACTTCACTGTTATCTTGCTCTTCCAAATCTCCTGTACCTCAGAAGTGGGAACATACAGAAATTTAGATTCACCAGAAATGTTTGACTCCTTGCTGAGACTTGCACCTAACTGCAAAAGGGAAGGGTTCACACATTTCTTGCCTCCTTCAAGAGAGAATAGACACTCCATAACTCAAAACTGGGGTACCATGTCTTAGTGACAACTTGTCCTAGACCAATCTCCAACAAGTGCTCCCTCAGGTTTTCAAAAACTTCACTGAGAATACTCAAAACTGAAGAATTTAAAGGGAAAAAAAAAATATTGAGACTGTTTTAAAAGCGAGGTTCACTGAAGTAGTTCAGCTTTGCTTGGTGTTTAGGTCTCAGCTTTAGAAACCAAACAATTTTGAAAGTGCTTGTGGCTTTTCTTCAGGGACACTCTATCCATTTCTTGATGTAGAGGGCAACATCTGAACAGCCTGTGGCCATTGATTGACTCAATCCAGTCAACCCAGCACTTCTCAGAGCAACAGGATGAGAGCCTTTGCTTGCACCATGTCCTTCTAACCTGGATGTGCCTTGCCTTGTCATAGGCAAAGCTAATAGGATCCCCCTTCCCCTTCAAGTCTAGTTTAAAGCTCTGTCAATGAGGCCCACAAGCTCCTGAGCAAAGATCCTCTTTCCTCTCTGAGAAAGGTGAATCCCACCTGATGCCAGCAAGAGGTTTTTAGATTAAACAGTGTTAAAAAATATAGGTCTGACTGAAAGAGAGTGGTGGAGTTAAATTGATTGCCAGTACTAGATACACAGACAGCTTTATGCAGCAAAAACTTCCAGGGGAGAGATTTTGTGGGCTGAGGGACAGTGGGAACTGCAGGCACAATGGTCAGCCCAGAACTTTACTCAAAGGGGTCATCTTTGAGCAGAGTCAAAATGAAATTGGGCAACATCAAGAGCAATGACTAAAGATGAACATGTACTAGGAAGGAGGGGGTGAGTGGTGGGTTAGGATATACTCACGGACTCCACTGGGATCAGCCCGTGCACCTTCTGCTGCCATCTCATCAGCTCCATCCTCTTCCCTTGGAAAAGATGGTGGGTCCTCTTTGCCTGGGGGGGGTGAAAAGGAACTTCTAGTGTTTTTTTGCCTTCATCCATCATTTAGACAGTTTTCATTTCTACTCAAACGTTTGAGATACCCAAAGAAAGTTTTTGTGCTCTTCATGTCCACTACAAATGCAGATAACCCAAAGTTGTGTCCTAATTTGTAGGGTGAATTCATTGGTTCAGATTTTAGGACTCTGGGCTGTGTGTACATTGCTATGGAAAAGACTAAATATTGCATAACAAGGGAAGCTGAAGACAGGTTTACAGGTTTGGGGCTTCTCTTTAATATACTGGGGACAATTTATTTGGGAGACAAGGCTATTCCTCCACCTTTCTGGTGGACTTTGCAAATATATCAGGAGATGGACATTCTGAGACCATCTAATATGTTGGACAGAGAATCAGGAAAGATTAATCTCTAAGAAAAACAGAAATATTCTATATTCACAGAAAATGAATTAATAAAATTAACATGATTTTTAAAAAACAAAAAAAAATTTTAAACAGCTTAAGTAACACCCCTCCAGCAATTTTTCATCTTTCAGACTATCATTTTCAGAATGCCAGGATTTCACTAGTTACAACTGTCCTCTGGAGTGGGGAAAGATCCACATTTTTTCATATAAAACTCAAACATATAGATTACTTATATAAATGTCTCTGAAAGAAGAAAAGATGGACAAGCATTGCTCTTGTTCTAAATTTGTTCTGCCTTTTGATTTCAAACACAGTCCTCATTTCCAAATAAAACACTTTCAAATGAACACTGGAAGAATTCTATACAAATACTACAGCTGGAAAATACTACCAGAAACCAGAAAATTCAGAAATTGAATGGAAGGAAACCTAAATATTCAGAACAACAAACACAGGCAGGATGAAAATGAGCCTGGTTTTATGTGTAAGCCTGACTTTCCTGACTGTTTGACATTCATAAAGCAGATTAAAAACAATTGCAATATACCTCAATGTGTTTAAATGGAATTCTTGTGGTTTTAATGGGTAACAGAAGTGGTATCACTGAAGTTGAAGAAACAGAGAATAGTTGCATAAATATACAGTGGAGTGTTCAGAGCCCTGAATTCTAATTCCAAACCCAGTAATGATGTGTACAGTCTGTATCAGCCATTCCACCTCTGGCTGTCTCAGTTATCTCCTGTGAAAAATGAGATAATAATACTTACCCATCTTAGCAAAGTGTTTTGATATCCACAGAGAACAGTGCTATAAAATACCGAATTATTGTAACTAATTAGCAATCATTTATCTTCTAAAAATTAAGACTATTATAGTTATCATTATAAATTAATTCCTCTCTGGAAAATGCTCTAGGCTGAAAGAGGGTATGAACATTTCTGCCTGCAAACTGTGAAGACTCTGAGGGGGATCATCACACATCTACTCTGGTTGCAGATTCTGAGTTTCAGGGGTTGACTGATGCAGCAAACCTTTGTGCAGGTTCACTGGGACAAAGGTTTGTATCTCTAAATGCTGGTTTTCTTTACCTGCATTCTTATTTTGAGAGTGTTTTCCTGATAAGCTAGAATTAAGGCTTTTGATAGTGAAAGCTGAGATAGTGGCAAGTGGGACTGGTGTAAAGTGGGAATAAAAAAAACCCAAGTTGGCAGTCAGACATTTTTGCCAACCCTTGTCATGCACTATGCCTGGACAGGACAACTTGTTGGTTGTTTTGGTTTTTTTTTTCCCTTAGTCCTAATAATTCAAGGCATTGATCTGAAACACTACACAGCTCCATATCAGTTTCACCATTTGGCTTTCCCAGAACTCACTCAAGAGTGTGAAGTGCTGGGGTTAAACCCCCAGCCCTGGATGAGGGCTGGCAGATGGATGATGGCCACAACCAGGCAAGAAAGCCCCTCCTGAGGGGTTTTCACCCAGGGTCTGGCCAGCTTGGGTGGGAACTGATGAGGAGATCCCCACCAGGTGCCCCCACCTTCCACATGAACTTGGAGGTGGGGCAAGAGCTGCCTATATAAGAGCTGACCCTGCTGGAAAGTTTGTGTGGGTTCTGGTTGTTGGAAGTGCTCTCTGGCTCTTCATGGCAAGTGGAGTTCCCAGGATGGCAGGGCCAGAACATGGAGCTGTCTCGGAGTCCCTGCTCTATATCTGGGCTCCTGGCCTGGCTGCTCCCATCTCCCATGGCTTAGCTCCTCACCTGGCTGCTCCTTTCTTCACATCCACTGTGGTGAGTCAGAGCATTGACTTGTTCCTTCCTCTGGTTGTCTGGCACTTTGTGTCTCTGGTGTGGGATGTGGGAGCAGAGGGAGGAGTGCAAGTCTGCCTCTTTAATGATAATATCATTCTATATTGGGCAAGTGGTCAGCAGATGACAGTGAATTCTGGTTTTCTTTGTTTCAGTGGCTAGTACTATAACCTGTGAATTTCAGCTAAGCTCCAATTTCTTTCAAATTGCCTTTCTCTTAACTATGTTCTCAAAGATACAGCTCACCCTAGAATGGAAAAATGTGTTTATTTTGGTATATTCTTTCAGTTATTTCAGAACTAAGATATTTTTTGGTAATTTTGCTGCTATGCAGAATCCTTATATATAGGAGCTTCTTAAAAAATAGTAAATTTGGATGTTAATGGATTTTGCATCTCAGACAATTGTCTCATTCAAAATACAGGATAATTAAAGCAAATAGGTGCTTATTTGATAACAGGTAAACAAATGCACTGAGATTACAGCACTTTCTTTGTGTTTTGTCATCCTGTTTTCCCCTCTTTCTGGAAAAGAGGTGATTAAACATGTAAGCTTCAGAAATGCTGTGGTTGCCTTCATAAATCCCATGACTGACACTTCAACAGCCTAAAATGGGTCAAATTAAATAATAATCAAAATATGGCCTACAGTATTACTTTAGAAACTGGACATATCTAGCAGTTACTCTTTTAATCTGTTTTAGGGCTTACATACAAAGAAGAATACCCAAGTGTAAATGGGGCATAGCTATCCCATGCTGTCTGTGTATCATCAGTCATCCAAGCCAGTTTTAGGCAATCAACCTAAAATCCCACAGAAGAACTTCATTTTTGTAGTAGAGAATATTGCTCTCTTACAATGGCTAGAAGACTTGAGAATAACAGAAGATATCAACTGCCACAGCAGTTAAGTATATAAAATATTTACTAGTCAGAGGCTGAGACATCAAGGATAAAGCTACAAAGCAGGATCTAGACACATCATCTTTATCACAGCCTCATTGTCTCTTGCCCCTCTCAGAGAAAAGAAGCAGAGTCCTGCTTAGAGCCCCATTATTGCTACGTTGCACACATTCAAAATATTCTCCTATAAAATTAGGAGAAATAAAACCTAACTCTAATTTCCAGCCTTACAGCTAAAGCAGTCCTGTTTATGATCCAGGCATCCTCGTTCTGACTCATGCGAGCTGCAGTTTCACTCTCTCAGTGAAACTCTCCAGTTTCACGAGTCTCTGCCTGGTGAATAGAGGTTGCCAGGTTTTTATTGACC